TATACTACATAATATTATTATATTTAGGTGTACAGGTACTCAGAAAAATTCAGAATAATTGATCGATTATTCGATTAACCATACTTTCTATAGTCTCTATATACGGTTCATAGAGTTTAAGTCAAGGTCAAAGTGAAGTTCATATCGTACACAGACATTAAAAAAAGAAAGTTCTGAGTGTCCTGTATGTATGTGTGTATGTGAAGAAAGTTCTAAGTGATTTGTATGTATGTAAGATTGGATGGATAACTCCTAACTAAGGTACATGACGTGATAAAACTTTATGAATCTTATAATGTATAGTAATTGAACCTATGATTGTATGTATGTATATATGATTGTGGAGGATTACCTCCCGATTGGTTAAACTGATTTAGATGTGATTTTTCTGAAAAGCATATTAATAAACCAAGTTCAAAAGCAAAGGGGTTAAAGTCGGTTTTTTATCGTTAATTTATATAAGTGTGGAAGGGCCATGCTTTAGCACGAGCCGATCAGACAACCGACGTGAAACAACGTTTGCGTTGTGTTTTGTGATGTGAGTAAGGTTACCAGAGGCCCAATTACCCCTCTCCCCTTCCGTGTCGTGTGTGTGAATATGAAAATTAATAACCAATACAATTAACCACACAAGAAAAAATATAAGAATATTAATATGTTCTCATATTCTTGGTTTTTCTAGTTTCAGCCAAGAATGAACAACGTGACCGTCAAAGTGGGCACACTGTTTGAGTGTGAGTCCATTCAAGAACATTTGGATTACACTGAAAAACATTTTATCTACGACCCAATATGGCGGCAGACTGCTATCGGTTGTACCATCTTATGTCTTCTGAGGGATATGTACAAATTTAAGTAAGTACGATAAATACTAAATGTGACAAGGTCCAATTACTTTAAAAAGTAGGTTGAGAAGCAATATAGTAATCAAAATTAAGAGTTCAATAAATGATAAATAACTTGGTTAAGGTTTCCAATATTCATACAGACGAAAACACCTCTATAATATTTAGGTCAACCCTAAAGTCGAACTTACGGTTTGCCTTACGGCGCGTCGATATTCCGCGAACACATCAAAGAGACGTCAGGTCACCACAGATGGGGCCCAATAGGCCTGATGCCGATATGGAGCCGTGGAAGACTTAACACGTTACCAGGGCTTCGGCTCAAAGAGCAGGAGTAGGAACGGGGTAGTTTTTAGCCGCTTGATTGCTTGCGCGAAAAAAAATGGGCACCTTACTTTGCCAGTGACTTTGGACGCTTACTGCGCGTTCTGCCCGCTGTTACTAAAACTTAATTTATGGCTTGCTCGAGTGGTGCACTTTAAATGTTTCTACTGTTATGAGTATTCCATTAGATAACAAATAATGTGTGATCGCTTTATTGTAAAAATAGGACTACAATAATATTTAACAAGTGTTTAAATTAAGAGTACCACCCATTTTAGCGACATTTTGTAAAACATAAGGTTAAAAAAAAATAAGATCAATAAGTATATAGTTATTCATATTATTCTTAAACTAGGTTTATTACTATATATATGTAAAGAAAATCACTATATTATATTTTCTTAATTATTAAATACTCTGTGCTTAATTCTCATTGTTGAATTGGCCGCTTTATCATAAGAAATATAGAATAGTTAATATAAAGAGATGTCACTGCCATTGTGACGTCTGTGTTTTTTTTAGAAGAATGAATGTCATATGGTTATATTTTCTATTTTAGTTTATAAAGTTAATTTTTCCCATAAAAGGAATAATGCCTAATACAAAGAAATAAAGGCTTAAAATGTTGTTTTTTTGTTGTTTTTACAGA